ACCTCCGTTTGCAGTACCCAACAGAGCAGCAGTAAGGGACTTTTCGCGCTGCCACCCGATCGCGCAAGACCCCCTGTAGGGCCTCGTCACTGCTCCAAAAAACCCACCCCCCCTTGGTGTTTTTCGATTTGTGATTTTTGGCAATGCCGGCGATTCGCGAGTCCCCCTTACTGCTGCTAAAATGATATACAAACACTTTGGAAGACTTATAGGCGTTTAGCTTCGATTTACATCTTTTACATTTACACCAGCCAATATATTTTAATAATAATATCGTTGGGTATTTTTATTTTACTAACCTGATTTTGTAGGGACGGCAAATGTCCAAATGATAAGATAAACATAAAGGACGTGAAACACATTCCCGCTAAAGCTTTGAAGCATATTCTGGTCGAGTTATATCTTTAGATTTTTGCTTGAAAAAAAAAAAAATTCCATGAAGAAGGCCGTTTTAAAATTCAGTTCTCGTATTTGTTAAATCATGATTCTTGATCACGTCCGAGTCTCGGRCTTCCAGTGTTTTCTACAGGTCAACTGTTATACAAAGCAAAAGCACTATTCTCTAGGCAACAGCCTGATCAAACAAATAAAGGACTTGACTCTGTTTTATTGGCAAGTATTGTTTTTGACACGTATCCGTTGTCTGTCAAGATCACTGTAGTGTTCATGATCAATAGCACCGTGACGATTGGTTGGTAAAACAATACCCAAGAAGAGGTGTCCAAAACATATCATATTACACAATTACAACAAATTGACGATATGTTATGAATTTGATATTAAAAAAATTGAACATTTAGTCATTAATTTTTGTTAAAATTTCATTTCCTGCCATCCATATTCGTTTTCACTTTCCTCCGAAAATAAACTCATTTGCATATTAGCCTGCTAACTAATTGTACAACGGAGTCATTTAGTAGTGCCAGTTTTGCTCGTGCACGCAAATAACGCCTGCTTTACCTTGCATTTTTGTTAAAACGTGCAATTTTCTTTAAACCTCTTTGATAAAAGACCAGAAAAATGAACTCTACCTTCCTTTCTGATCACCTAAAACTGATCGCAACAGACCAAATCAAGTCCTTTTTTGATTTTTATAAAGCTGTAAGGAGTTTTCTTGAAGTTAATGCCGTGTTTCATGTGAATTTGTGTGATCAATAGATTGTCTTTTCTTTTCTTTGTAGATCAACTGGAGGGAACCTTGGTTAAGCGGTTTGCTTATATTCCATTTTCTGACTTTCGTTACCGTTATTCTGACCCGAAAGCACTTGAATATTCAAGCCTTTTTGTTTCTTTGCTTGTGTAAGTATCTATAAGGGTTGTTTTTGACTTTCTTTAATCCAATGACAGGTAGCCCAAGCCCTGTGTGTCACACATGTACAAGGCAATGTATGGATATTTTTTAAACACCGTAATTCAATGAAAATATTTCAATAACATTTACCTTTCTTCCATGGCGTGTTTGTTTGTCCATTGATAATGTTCGTGATGAGTTTTGGGAGAATTTGAGTCATTTTAAACCGCCTTCCAAATGGAATATTTCCATTGAAAAAAATGTCCATACATTGCCTTATATCATATGTGTGACACACAGAGCTTGGGCTACCTGTGATCCAATCAGTTAGTCACATGTTTTTTCCCCTCTTCAGTAAGTGTTGTTCTTGCATCAGAAAAGCTAAATGCTCTTGGAGAAAAGCACTGGAGGTAAGTTATAACCCTTTCTGTGTTATTTGATTCCAAAGCTATCTTGGAAGAAGAGATGCAATAGCAGTGATTTTCCCATCACCAAACCTACCAGGAGCCCATTCCCTCCCCTGATCCACTATATACTAATAGTCTAAAATGTAAACTCCATTGTTTGTTTATAAAACCAATTCAGGTGGTTTTCAAAGGAGCAGTACTTTGATTCCCATGGCTTGTTTATCACTGCTGTTTTATCGGGACCAATCATGATTAATTGTTTTATCATGATGGTAAGTATTAACACTTCTGTATCAATGACCTCTGAATTTGTGTCCTTGTAGTCTGAGCAGTTTCAAATGTTATGAAGTAATCTGGTCCAATGAAATACCTGCATCATACTTTTAGGTTGTATGGCTATGGACAGCAGGCAAAATGTTGATTGTTGTTGGAAGAGGAAGAATAAAAGAGAAAAGAAAACAAATGGCTGAAACTGCTGAAGACAAAAAGAAAGAAAATTAGATATACTTGAAGGTAGGAAATGATTAGTAAAAGTTGTAGTGGTCATGTCTGAAGTAGCCGTGCCGATACGAGGAACAGAAGGCATTTTTATAGAAAAGAAAGTAGCCAGCAGTTAACTTATAGCATTCACTAGACGTCAGTGGCTGCTGGCTTTTTTGAAAGCCCTGTCTAAGAGTGGCATATCAGTGCAAGACAGTGAAGTTCAAAACTTGACTATTTATTGTTGTCTATTGAGATTTTTAATATTTACTGCCATGAGAATTCTTATATCATTTGTCTTGTTGAAAACATAAGATTTCAAGCCACCCTCAAGGCAATGGTTAGACTTCAAGATTTTATCAAATGCAGGACAGTCTATGAGGCTCTTACACTGCACTGGGAATCAAATTAATTAACATGTAAATGACTATTGTTAGTTACCCCTCATTCCTAATTCTCTCTGGTTTGAATTAGTTATTGATCAGTGTTTATTTAGCTAATGTTACTAATAAGTACATAATATTGTACCAAAAACTAGTTCCAATTGGCAGTTTTTTAAAAATCTTTATTGTAATTCTGTATTTATTTGCACTTTGTCCCATTTTCATGACTTTTATAAATCACATGATAGCTACTGTACAAAACTTTACCTAGAACAGCTTATATCTTAACAAATATTAAGTACATTTTTTTATTAAAAGAGATATCACCTTTGCCTCTTATAATTATTACAGTATTCCAAACAGAATTTTAAGCATAATCTCAGATTGCTAACCAATTATGTACATCATACAATACAAAAAGTAAAACGCAAAAGATTTGGCTTAGTAAATTAAGCTATCTTTTGTCAGATAATAATATTACAGGGTAGTTTGATAAAATAATGTGTTTTTCCAGAAAACTCAAGCTGCTGCTGCTTCCACCTGAGGTTGATAGTATTTATATTAATATCAATTTATTAAGTATTAAAAAATTAACTCTTTATATTATAGCTAGGTGGCAAGTATTAGTATGAGAGATTATTAATTTTGGTTAGCTTGTTAATCTAGACATTTTTTGGGCATTGCTTTTCTCTTTTTACCTTCCCATCACAATGAGAAGCTATCACATACTGGATCTTTTCTGGAACAACACATTTCTAACACTTTCTTTAAAAATAATTATGGAGTCTTAATTTATTTTTGAATCTTTAAGTTAACATTAACAAGAAAACAATATTTTGATAAGTGGTTTTTATGTGTAAAAAAATGTTTTAAAATGCACTTAAAAATGTTGCTAAATTTTGTTATATTTGTGTGTCAGAATTTCTTAAGGTATTTCACTCTGGTAACCAAGTTTTCTTAATAGAATACCGCCTGCTTTTAGTCTTAATGAGTAAAATCAATAAAATGTAGTTCCATTTATATATTCTACCATGCCACAGAGGAAGAACTAATGTTGTGGATTCTCCTTCTTTTCCTTATCTTTCGCCTTTTTCCTGGAAAATTCATTGAAAGGGAAAAAAGGATACCAAGAACACTATTCCTTACACCCTCCCCGCCCCTTAAAAAATCCATTCCACTGTTGGTGAGGTATGAAAAATTACTATCTACTGGGCATTATGACATATTCACACATAGGTACATTATTTGTAGGATCCAGGAAAGGTATAAAATAAAAGTGATTTGGGATATCTCTTCTGAAATACCAGCACACTCAAAACTAACCTTCCTAAGTGAACAATGATTCTAATCATTGGCTTTAATTATAAATAAAATATATTAAAATATTAATCAAGTGTCTTTGAGTTAAAGCTGTACGACATTTAAATCTACATGATGATGAACTATAGATAAACAAAATCGAATAATTTTTTTCTTCTTAATAATAATCTAATATTAATTATGAGTGTTGAATAAAACTATATGGCTGGACTTAATATCATATTTACTAACTTTATGTATTGCAGTTTATTAGGTCTAATAATTGCATAGGTGTTAAGCCAGGTTACTATCTGATATGGCTGGGCAGTTATCGATATTCCTTCCTTCTACTGCTCTTGTTTCTGTTAGTTTTAAGGGGACTCCATTGATCTGAAATGGTAATTGAAATCAAAAATAATAAGTCACATTAACTAACGATTTTTAACCCTTTCCCCACTACACTACCCTGTACTGCCCTGAGAAAAAAACAGCTAAATTTCCTATAAATATGTGCATTACTTAATACAATCTTGATATAGTGAAAGCAAATCACTAGCAAGCAATAAATGCAAGCATATACTGTTAGTAGTAATACTGGTGGTAATGATGAAGTTCAATGATTGTAATGATCAGAGATGATGATCTGTGATGATGATTTTACCAAATAAACCTGCTTACTAGAGAATAGTGTTTAGTGTGTCTTACCGTCAAAGAAGTCACACAGCCAACAAAATCCCTTAAAGATTTAACATCAGCAACAGCTGAAGGGTTGACCAATGAGAGTTGAGGAACACCTCCAAGGTAGAAATTTGAACTAGCATCTAATGCAACTGCTTTTCCTGGTGATGTCGTAGATATAGCTACATCATCATCCACCTTCAGAGCGCCTGTTTGTTGGTTTCTGGTTATAGTGACTGTGTGTTCAGTGTTAAAGGTAATGTTCTTTTGGCTCTGTATTGGGTTTATTCCACTACCAAGGTCATAACGATACTGTACAAAGCTGAAGAAAGGAACAGAAATATCAATCAATACCATTCAGACATAAGTGCTGCATAGTAACCGGGGCCATTATGGGCCTGATTTCGTAGTAGCTGTGTGTCGAAACTACTCACTACCAGCATTGAGACTGTGCCCCCTCTCATACCCCCACACCCCAAATATCAGTCATGGCCACATGATCTTTTGACAGAAAAACAACAACAAAAACAGATAATTTACAACTAGATCTTCTTACTTGCGTGAAGCTTAAAACTTGCCCCTCTCTTTGCATCCAAACGCAAATAATTTACTTTAGTGCCTGGAGGAACCAGGATTTATATCTGCCTAGTACAGTGTAAATGTACAAAAAAGTAATGTTTACTTATTACTTACCCATTATGTAGACTAACAGAGAGAAAGTCTCCATTTTGGGCAGTGATTTTATGAGCAACATAAAACAGCAGGCCATTTCCATTGTAAGAAATGAATTTTATGACTATGTTTGCATTCAACCTGATGTTTAGAGCTGTAGGAGTGAAAGCCATATAGGAATTTTCCTTGAAGTGTGGCGTTTGAATTGAGATGGCTGTAGAAAAAACCAAACCATTGTCATTAGTATTTAGCTTTTTTTAATGGATTTTTTTATATCAGTCTTCATGCAGTCTTAACTTACCATTAGAACAAGTGTCACCAGTTTTGCCTAAAGGACAGTCACACACAGCCTTATTGTTCATCTCTCGGCATGTTGAATTGACAGCACAAGGGTTATGGTTTACACAAGGAATCTCTTGACTAGCACAGTACATCCCTTTCCATCCATGAACACAAGAACAAACAATTGCAGCTCCTATTTGTGTGCAGGTGCCATTATTCTGGCATGGGTTGCTGGTATTACAGTTATTGTAGCCTTCATCTCCTACATTTCGTCCTGCAATGACTGCCCACTGGCTGTGACTGCTGGAGTTACTCTGTGATGTTAGTAGTGGAATGACAGGCTGTGACACACCAAACTTTACTGCTCCATTAGCAATACTTCCCTCAAAACCTCTTTTAAATAAAACATCTGTAGGAAGCTCTGAAAGATCAGGGACTCCACCAATGTACAATGGACTGTATAAGTTAAGTCCTGTTAGCTGACCGGGTGAACTTCCACGTTTCACTCCATTATTGTCCAAATAAAGATAACCCTCCTTTCCATTACGACCTGCTGTTAAGAAATGCCATTCACGAGTGGTATCAATTGGGTCACTTTCGATGTTCGCAATGCCACTGCCAAGATTATACTGCAGTAGCACCTTGCTATTATTGATTCCCAATGCAATGAAGTCGTCTCCTTTACCCTGGTACTGATTCTGTCCACTGAACATGAGTAATGCATTGTTCCAGGCAGTGGAGTTGGGGTTAATCTTGAACTGAAGGGTTATCTCAAAGTAAGCACCACTGAGGGTCGGTTTTTGGTATTGGATGAAGGAGGAGTAGTTGTAGGCCATAGTGAATGTAGGTGTCATGATGGATAACTCTGAAAACAAAATGAAAAGATGTTTAAACAAGTGTGGCAAGGGAGAAAACAACATATCCAACAAACTCAACTCGCATGATTTTAATATTATCATGTGGTTCAGTTGAGATCATCTGTGACTGCAGGAAAAAAAAAAAATTACTCTCGAGACATAATTATAATATATTATTATTACATGGTTCAGTTGAGATCATCTGTGACCCCAGGAAAGGTGTTTCAAGGAAGAAAATATATCCAAAAAAATTACTTTCGAGACATAATTATAATTACGTGGTTCAGTTGAAATCATGTGACCCCAGGCATGAATTACGCAGCAATGCATGTGAGTGAGCACTGTAACACAGCATGCCACTCATGTGCTTAGTTAATCATTGCAGCAAGTACTTGCAAATGGTGCAGCTCAACTGGGTCGAACTAAAAGCATGTGAAGGCACCTCTGACAGCCGCTATTATGGTCTTTGTGACCCTGGAGGGCAGCTCTACAAGTTTGAATTAGTTAGATAGGCAAAGGTTGATTTTGAGAGGAAAAAAAACCTTTAGTAAGATAGAAAAATAATCCCATAAATATGAAAACAAGTTGAATAAGATTTGTTGCAGCGCTTACCATTCTCACATTCTATACCTCCTCTACCAAACGGACACAGACAAACTCTGCTGGTGTTTGCAGCAGATTTGCCTATGACACACAAACCACCTTTACAAGGATCGCCGCTACACACGGAAGCATTTTTGCAGTTCTTTCCCTCAAAACCATGTGTACAATTGCACTCATAGTCATGAGGATCGTTAGTATCTGGAATACACTGGCCGTTGTTCTGGCATGGCTTGTGGGTGCCGTTACAAGGAGTGTCACACTCACTGATGTCATTCCAGTCATTGGCCTCTGTTGATTGGAATGATTAATTTTATGAATATCAGGTCACACTGTTGCAATTCACCTAATATCAGTAATTAATTTCTATAATAATTTGCATCTCCTCTCTCTCTTTTTTTTTCACTCTTTCTTCCATTCCTTGGCCTTAAGAGCACTATAAGTCAGGGAGTAAATCAGGAGCAGCCTTGTAATAAACATTTTGTGATCAAACCACCAAAAGCTGCTGACAATTCTTTTTCAGAATGATTTCATTGGATGACTATTTTCAGATCATAATATTGTCAAATTGTGAAATACATGAATATAACTGACAACACATTTACCTGTAAACCCAATTTGGTCACCATTTAACTCAATGTCTTTAATACAGCCTACAAGATTTGGTGTAGCTTGACCTCCATCATTGCTGCCGATACGTTTACCAGGTGGTAGCCCACCAACATACCAGTCATTGTACAATCCAATTCCTACCATTTTTCCACGTGAAGTTTTGTTTTGTCTGGGATGATTATCAACTTGTAACGAACCTTGTTTGTTTCTGCTGTCATAACTAAAAATTGGGAGCAATGAAGGTTATAAGTAACATTATGGTATTCAAAGTTAATATTAATCTACTGGTAGATACAAATACAAGCTTTATAGATGAGCAACAAGCAAGTATGGTCTAAAAGATGGAGAGACTATCATTGCTAATGATCATTATTTTGTAAGCATAATTTATACCTACAGTATTTCATAATTGATCATTTGCAAGCCAAAATTAAAGGACAATTAGACACAATGGCCATGTTGGAGATATAAATTAACAAAAAAGCTAACAATAAATTTTTTTGTCAATTACCACTAACATGGCCGCAATGGCATAACATGCAAACCAAGAATTCACACATTCCTTACAATGCATACACTCAGGCACTTGGAAGTTTGATTGACAGAAACAAAAAACCCTGGCATCTGAATGTCATATGATGATTGACGAAACTAAATTTGAATACTGTGCACATTGACTACTTACGTGACCACAGCAGTTACGATAACACCAGTATTCACAGACACTTTACTTGTGATCACACACAAATAATCTCCAGGATCAAATCGGTATTCCAGTTTTCCATCAGTAATGTAAAGCTGTATGAAGTCTTTGTATATACTGTGTGATGAGTAGAACAATAAACCATTGGTAGCCGTTGTCTTAAAGGTTATGACTATCTTGTTGAATCCTGCACTGAAGGCTATGGGCTTGTGGACTAAATATGAACTACTTGAGAATCGAGGAAAATGAAGTGTGAAGTCTGCAACACATAAGTAAATAAAGGTATTCAATACTTGGAGAAGAAATATATAATTTTTCAACTGGCTCAAAAAGGGTAAAAGATGTAAATGATTGAATTTGCATTGAGTTCAAAGTAGGATTCATTCACACACTCAGACCTCTGCAAATGATATGTCAAATTTGATATGATTTTATTTATTTTATCAAATTGACTATATTCTGTTTTTATTATGAAAGTGCCACTATTTGTAGAGTCTCTTCAAACTTTAGTTGAAACATGTTTTTCAGCCAATCAGAGTGCACAATTCTTAGCAACTCAATGTTCTAATATCTACACCATGACATACCTGTACTGCATCTTGGTCCATATGTGGGTTTAGGACACTGGCATGTGAAGTTCAACCCATATTGATCTGGAACATCGCGGCATGTTCCATTGTTGCATGGATTGTTCTTACAAGTTTGGTCCTTCAGTGGGATGGTTGTTGGGGGAAAGGTCGGTGGCATTGTTGGGTAGACAGATGACATCATCACAGTTGAAGAGAACGTCATTGTTGATGGTATTATTTGGCTTGATAGTGTTATTGATGGTGGGATTACTTGACTTGATGATGATGTTGTTGGTCCAACTGATGATATTGATTCCAGTATTGACGATGTTAATGGCAGTATTGATGATGATGATGGCTTTATTGACGATGAAGACAAAATTGATGATGTTGACTGAGGTGTTAATGATGATGTTGGTACATCAGATGATGTTACTGTTGTCGTTGTAACTGATGGTTCCATTGTGAGAAGATGTGAAGTTGATGCCACCTTTGTTGTCACCGATGATGTTGCTGCTACAGAAATGACTGAAGAAGGCATACTAGACGTTGTTGATAATACTTGTACTGTTGAAATCATAGAAGAAGTAGTGTTCAATGAAGGGGAATTGTAAACAGAGGTTGTTTGAAATACTTCAGGCGTGGATACTGGAAGTACAGTAGTTGATGCAGACAGTGATTTAGTTGAAAATGAAGATGTCGATAATGATTCAACTTTGGATGTCTTTACTGTAACTACCAATGAAGACACACTTGATGAGCTTGTTTGGTTTTTAGTGATACTAGAAGTATGAGTGGTCAAAGATACAGAATCTTTTGCAGATATGGAAGGAACTAGAGTGAAAGAGCTTGACAGTGAAAAGTATGAAGAAGGTACTAGCGATCCTGTAAATATAGATTGGCTCACTGTACTTATTGACTCTAATGGAACACTGGAAGAGGTTGCATATGAAGTTGTGAATTCACTTGATGTAACAGAAGAAAGAGAGACAGTTTGGCGTACCGTTGATGAGTACGTAAGCAAGTGCGTGGTACCAAGTGTGGATGTCTGAACATCGCTTACAACACTTGACTTACCAACAGTAGTAGCCATGACTGAAGTATAAGCTACAGCACTACTAGATATTGTCACATTCTCTGTGCAATTCCTGCCTGTAAATCTATGAGGACAAGTACATGTATAGTTAAGACGATTTTCTCCTGCCCGCTCACATGTCCCACCATTTTTACATGGTTTTAATTCGCATTTGTCATCAGAGAGTTTCTCACAACTTGTTCCAAAATACCCTGGAGGGCACAGGCATTTGTATCCATTAATTTGATCCATACAAATGGCACCGTTCATACATGGTTGTGATTTACAATCATCAATATTATGTTCACAATTCTTTCCTACATACCCTGGCGCACAGGTGCAGTTGTAGTCATCTTGCAGCCCAGATTTCTTGTCGATACATGTTGCACCATTTTGACATGGGTTGAGCTTAGCATGACAGCTGCCACGCTCTCCACAATAGGCTCCCGAGTATCCAGTATCACATACACAAGATGCATTGAAGGTGAAGAACTTTCCACTTACAGCACACAACCCTTTGGAACTGCACACATTATTATTTGATGGTGGTTGACTTAGACAACTGTCTCTGCTGCGCACATTCACTTCCAGTTTAAGTCCAAATTGGCATTGTATTATCATGTTATCGCTTTCGGCTATAAAATACTTTATTCCAGTTGCTGCAATGAATCTTGCAGGGACTTCGAACGGCAATCTCGTGAGATCTGATATGACTGGTGATGCATTTTTAAAGTCGCAAAGATCGAAGCCCCTTTTCGAAACGTTATATAGTTTAACAGCAAAATCATATTTTTCTGACGATTTCACTATCAGTTTGTCTCCTTGATAAATAATAGCTGGATACTGTCTTGGACCAGCAATAAATCCTCGAGGATCGTTTTCATTGTAACAGTCTTGAGGCGTGTGGCCAGGACATACTTGTCCATTATATCCAAGTTCAACCGTAACATTTCGGTACTCGGTGGAAAAACATTCGTTTCCCGAAGGACAAGCTACATTGGCAATCTCTGAATTGTTCGTGGGAGCTACCGTGCTATTTTGAGCTAAAACTCCACAAGGTACAAAACAAAACAAAAGTAACATTCCAAGATATAAAATGTTTGTTCTGCGTAGAAGCATGTGCAATTTCGAGACACCCATTTTGCAGTTCAAACTCTCTTCTCTTTCTAATACTTGCAGTTGTCAGTAAACAGCTGTACGAGACATTTCGTGATGAATGAGCACACCATAAAAAATATCACCTCACGGACGCTTTTCACCGAATATAAAACAGAAAATGAGCCAAAAACCTATGATATATTCCCTCCAGACAATCTTGAGTTGAGTTTCGCAGATTACCACGGTAACTCGAAAGGTCGAGTTATGACAACAGTCTGTTAAGATCGATAGACTGACACTTCATAAACTTACGGGAAAAAAACAGTGTCTTATCGATTGACTAGTGTGAAAATCCTTTGTGGAAGCTTGGCAATCTTCCCGCAACTTGAGGACGAATAATTGCAACTATTCAGAGAAAATCACAAGGGAAAACGAAGACGAAAATACCTCTAAAGTGCTTGCAGATTACGAGCCACGAAGGAATGTCGAAGCGAATTTCTGTTTACAGAAGTGATTCTAATTTTTCGTTGCCAAGTTTTTGAAGTCGTTGATGAAGTCTCTGGCTTGGATCTAACTCCTCTGGTAATAATCGTAAATATTTGATGAATTTTTCGTTGTAGGAATGTGATTTAAACTGTCAATTGTGAATTTTTTCTTTCGAAAGCTGCTGTGGAAACCATTTGAGCGTCTGCTCATTAGCATAAGAATTGACCGCGGAAGCCATTCGCTATTGTTCTCGACTTCAGGTCGTGCTCTGATTGGTCCAATAGCAAAACTTTTAGACCTCTTGTTGCTAAGCGAAATTAAACTCAAAACAAAAACTAATTTTAGCGCTGCTGTAATGAGGTCTGAAAATTCTCTCTTTTAATTTGGCGAATATGTAAGACCATTTTTTCTTGCGATGTTTAAAGTAAAATACATATACTGATGCTATACTGTTTTTAAAAACGAAATTTTTAAGCGTTTTTTGACATACATTCCTTAGTTCATAATAAGTTTTTTRAATTRACTGAAAAAATGATTGTAAACAAAGACGATGAGTGACAGAAAAAAAAAAAAAAAAAACGTATTAAAAGAAAAGAAAAACGAAGAAAAACAAAAAATTTTCAAGTTATTTTTAACTCCATGTGGAGTATTTCTCCCTTTATTTATTTTTACGAGTTGATGAAGGTCGAACCGCGATGTCTAACCACTGCTTGTGGCAATACCCGCATTACTGGCAACCGACAATTTTATCCCCGACCTTGGTCCCCTTGGGAAGTCGTTTGTCAGAAAAAATGCTTTATTAATGACTCTGTTATAATATCATGAAAAATTAAGCTAATATTTGAATCAATTTATATAAAAAACTGATGCATTCAGTTAAGAAGTTTTACTTGAGATAAATTTGTAGCAATTTGCGTAATAATAAATTCCGTTTTCAAAGATACCCGGATACGTAAGGACAGGGCATAAAAGATCTTAAATGAACCGTTCCTGGCTCAGGTGACCTACCCAGCGAAATTTTAACTCCCGACGTACTTCAATTTGTCAGGAAAAACTGCTCAGTAAACTCGTTTTACCGGCTGCCTGGATTAACATTTTTAGTGCTGTTTGCTGTGATGAACAATGATACATGTATATCCTTAGTTTTGTGTGGAAATTAACCCTAGTCTTGAAGAACCGTTTTAACTTGTTTGAAACAAGCATTTTCCCATGAAAAATGCCTGAAATATAGAATATTGACAAGAGACGTTCATACTGATGGCAAAAATTTCTTGACAAACAAGGTTTACAGCTTTGTTGTTAATGCGAATTAATTGCTCCAGTGCAGTATTTCTTACTCAAAGTATTTGTTATTGACACCCTCCTCAGTGACATCCGCGTTCCTCCTATACTTGGCCTTTGTTTTTGTATCCTAACAAAACACTTCTTCAACTTCTCAATCTTCATTACAACATCCAAACAACAGTTAAGGAGTGGTGCTAATGTTCCTGTTAACGTCACGTTTATGGGTTGCATTTGCAAAGAGAAAAAATTGCTCAACAATAGATAACAATGACGACAAAGCTTTATGATTAGCTTGATAAAATAAGGGGTTGGGTATACGAATAATAGCGAGTTCTTGTAACTTGGATAATGAGGTGCTAACGACCATTGCAGTGTTTGTTTTGTCATTTAGTTGTACCAAAAGACTTGCCTAACTTCGAGTATACGCTCATTATGAGAGACTAGTATAGCTGCAACCTGAACTCTACTCATTATTCACTTGCGACTTTCCCAGTTAGTTAATCTTGGCTTGGTGCTTCTGCTAAACGGAAAATTGATAAAAGTTTTGGGAGTTAAAAGGTTGGGATTATTTCGTAAAACTAACATCAACGAAGTTGACCGAAGTTGTACAAGTTGGTTTTATCTGAAGGCAAGCGTTGCAAGAATTTTTCAGATTCGTGGAAAAACGTTGCTGAATGTGAAGCTACGATGAGAAATCTTTCAAAAAAGAGTGATATACATAAATCAAGTGGTAAAAGCTCGTCAGCTTCAGAGAAAAAAGAACTGAATGACGAGGAAGTCGAAAAAAAGTTCGATGAACTTCGAAAAAAAGCCAGGCAAGAAATGATGGATTTTGAAGCCCTTGATGAGGTATCTCTCGCTCACTATCTCAGGATCAAACAAGCAACGACAAGACTGTTATTTGTAAATGAAGACGAAGAAGTAGGAGCTCAAGAAGGAACAACAACCGAAGTGGAGAAGGTAAAAGAAGAAGAAATGCAGAAAATGGCAAGAAATATTTTACGAAAGTGGCAGGCGTTCGCCAAGGGAGAGACTGAACCAAGGGAAGTAAGATTGATAAAACGATTGATAAAACGATAGAGTGCATCGATGAAACTACAAGTTTCCAAGGTGTGAGTGATCTCAATGTGAACTGCTCTTACGGTCAAGCATGTGAACAGACAGCCGTATCGTTTGACAACAGAACGTCCTCTTTTCACTTGTATAGGGCCAAAGAAATCTACTCCAACATAAGAAAACGGTGGCATGTCAGGTGTCAGTCTGTCT